TGGTTTGGGGCGCTTCGCTTGAGAGATCCTCACAGCTCTCGATTCTGAGCTGGCCAGGATTGGGCGTTTCGCCTGAGACATCCTCGAAACTCTGGGCTCCGAGATGCTGCCCGAGAGGGTGTCTAGCGCGTTTTGCTTGAAATATCCTCGCATCTATGAGTTCCGAACTCCCGCGCCCGAGGCGCTCTGGTGCGTTTCACCTGGGACACCCTCACGAATCTGGGCTCCGAGGTGCCGCGAGCGAGGTGGTCCGCTGCGTCTCGCCCTAGACATCCTCGCAGTTCTGCGCTCCGAGCTGCCGCGCGCGAGGTGGTCCGGTGCGTTTCGCCCGAGGCATCCTCGCGGCTCTGGTCCTCGAGGTGCTGCGCGGGAGGTGGTCTGGCGCGTCTCGCACGAGGCGTCCTCGCAATCCGTGTCTTCGAGATGCTTCGCGGGGGGGGGGTCCAGCGCGCTTCGCCTGAGACATTCTTGCAGTTCTGATCCTTGAACTGCCGCGCTCGAGGTGGTCCAGCCCATTCCACGTGAGACATCCTCGCATCTCTGGGCTCCAAGATGTCGTGCGCGAGGTGGTCTGGCGCGTTTCGCTTGAGGCATCCTAGCTTTTCTGGGCTCCGACTCCGCGCGAATGTGGTCCAGCGTTTTTCGCCTGCGACGCACTCGCAACTCTGCGCTCCAATGTGCCACGCGCGAGATGGTCCAGATCGTTTCGCCTGAGGCATCCTCCCACTCCTGCGCTCCGAACTGCCGCGCGCGGGTTGGTCCGGCGCGTTTCGCTTGAGACATCCTCGAAGCTCCGGGCTCCGAGAGGGAGGAGGAAGGAGGGGTCAGACCCAAACCAACCTTTTGATTACATTTCTGCTGTCGAATGGAGTTCTGGGAGGTGTCTGGGCGCCACCTGTCGCACGCCGCGCGAGAGATGGTCCGACGCGTTCCGCCTGAGACATCTCCAAGGTGCCGCGCGCGAGATGTTCTGGCACGTCTCGCCTCAGACATGATCGTAACTCTTGGCTCGAGACGCCGCGCGAGAGGTGGTCCGGCGCGTTTCGCCTGAGATATCCTCGCAACTGTGAACTCCGTGCTACCGCGCGCGAGGTGGTCTGGCGCGTTTCGCTTTACACATCCTGGCAGCTCTGAGCTCCTAGATGCTGCGCCCGAGGTGGTCCAGAGCGTTTCGCCTGAGACATCCTCGCAACTCCGGGCTCCGAGATGCTGCGTGCGAGATGGTCTGGCCCGTTTCGCCTGAGACGCCCTCGCAACTCTGGGCTTCGAGATGCTGCGCGAGGGGTCGTCCGGCCCGTTTCGCCGAAGACATTTCTCACAATTCTGTGCTCCGAGAACATGTGCGCGAGGTGGTCTGGCGCGTTTCGCTCGAGACATTCTCGAACTCTGAGCTCCGACATGCTGCGCGCGAGTGTGGTCGGGCGCGTTTCGCCCGAGGAATTCTCGAAACCCTTTGGGCTCCGATGATGGGCTTGTTTTCCACCACGACCACCATAACTTGGAGGGGGAGGGGGTCTTCCTCCTCATCCTCCTCCTCCTTGCCTCAGGCTACCCGCACTCCTCCTCCTCCTCCTCCTCCTCCTCCTCCTCCTCCTCTTCCTTGTCTTCCTCCTCTTCCTTGTCTTTCTCCTCCTCCTCCTCCTCCTCCTCCTCCTCCTCCTCCTCCTCCTCCTCCTCCCCCTCCTCTTCCCCCTCCAACTTCTGGTGATGGTGGTGGAAAACAGGACCATCATCCGAGACGGAGGGAAGGGTCAGACCCGAACGAATCATTTGATTATACTTCTGTTGCCGAATGGTGCTCTGGGGGGGGTCCTGGTGCTGCCTTGCCTGGTCCAGCCTCGCACGCCGCGCTCGAGGTGGTCCAGCGCGCTGCGTCTCGGACATCCTCGCAGTTCTGACGCGTGCGAGGAGGTCCGGCGCGTTTCGCCTAAGGCATCCTCGCAACTCTGGTCTCCGAGAGGTTGCCCGCGAGGTGCTCTGGCCAGTTTCGCCTGAGGCATCCTCGCAGCTCTGGGCCCCGACGTGTGGCTTGCGAGGCGTTCTGGCGCGTTTCGTATCAGACATCTTCGACCAACTGGGCTCCGAGAGGGAGAGGAGGGAGAAGGGGTCAGACAAAAACGAACCAGCTGATTGCACTTCTGTTGTCGAATTGTGCTCTGGGAGTCGTCTGCGCCGCCTGGTCCATCCTCGCATGTTCGAACTCGCAGAGATGTCGCGCGCGAGGTGGTCTGGCGCGTTTCGCCTGAGATATCCTCCCAACTCTGGGTTGCCAGAGATGTCGCGCGCCAGGTGGTCCAGCCCGTTTCGCCAGAGGCCAGGGGTATCCTCCCAACTCTTGGCCACGAGATGCTCCACACGAGGTGGTCCAGCCCGTTTCGCTTGATAAATCCTCACGTCTGGGCTCCGAGATGCTGACCGCTGAGTGCTGAGACATCCTCGCAACTCAGATCTTCGAGATGCCGCGCGAGAGGTGGCCTGGCTGCTCGCCGCAAACATCCTTGCGACTGTGGACTCAAAGATGCCGCGCGCAAGGTGGTCCGGCCTGAGTCGCTCGAGAAACTTCGAAATGATTGACGCTTCGCGTATCCCCACCAGCCGTTGCTCAGTGCTAAATTTAGTGCTTGGCCCGGCTGCCTTGTTACTTTCGGCGCGCGGTCGTACCGTTAGCGCTCGCGATCAAACAAGTTCCCACCAGCCCATCCAGAAACGATGCCCATGAGGGTTGACGGGGGAAGAGAGGAAGAGACACGCATAGTCAAACAGCAAGGGAGGCTTGGGAGGCTCCGTGGCCATCTCGAACCGTCTTGGAGCGGTCTTGGGCCGCTTGGAGCATCTTGGGAGCCGTCTTGAGCCAGTTTGGGCTATCCGAGCCATCTTGGAGGCCATCTTGGGCTCTCTGAGGCCGCTCGGGGGCCTCTTGGGGGCCTCTCGGAGGCCGCTTGGGGCTTCTTGAGGTGCTCTTTGGGCCCTCTTGGGAGCCTCTTGGGAGCCCTGGAGGGCCTCTTGGGGCCATCTTGGAGGCGGTCGGTCAAAAGAGAGAGGGTCCTCAGCTTCCCCCCCCCCCTCGGGGGCCACGATCCTCGTGAGTGGTGTCAAAGATTGGCCCTCCCAGGGGCCGAAAAAAGGACCCTCTCACACCTCGCGACCCCTCCCAAAAAAAACCTCAGGGAGGGGAGGGGGAGGGTTCCCCTCCCCGAAGGGAAGAGGGGATGTGGAAGAGGAAGGAGACCCTCCTCAGACCACCTGTCGCCCAAAGGGCTGGTGGGATTCCGGGCGCCAAGACGCCGCGCGCGAGGTGGTCCAGCGCGTTTCGCTTGAGACATCCTTGAAATTCTTGCCTTTGAGAGGTAGGAGGGAGGAGGGAGGAGGGGCCAGACCCAGGCGAACCATTTGATTACACTCCTGTTGTCGAACTGTGATCTGGGAGGGGTCTGGGCGATGCCTGTTCCATCCTCGCATGCCGTGCGGGGGTTGGTCCAGCGCGTTTCGTCCGGTAACGGACATGACACACACACACACACACACCATTCGGGAGCCTTGAGACGGGGGTCAATGCAAACGGGGGTCAACCAGAGCGCCAGATCTTGCAGGATCCTGCGAAGACCCTCTCTGGCTGCCCTGGGTTAGCGAGCCGCTCGTGGCCGCGAGGCGGCCGCGCATATTGGCTGACCCGGGTTTGCGAAGACCTGCGTTGCAGTTTTTTTTCTTTCATTGCAGTTTTTTGGTTTCCTGCTGACCCGGGTCTGGACTGACCCGGGTCAGAAGATCCCCGAACCATGACGGGAACAATGCCAGAGAACATATTTACACCATGATTGCACCAAAATTCGACTATTACGGGGAACACCGCCAGGAGCACTCATCCACTGGCTTCTTAGAGACAGCACGAATGCGAAGACTAATACGACTACGGACGCGAATCATAACATTAATATTAATACAAGCGGTACTAATGCGATTGTACCGTGCCGAGGCACGACCGCCTTGCACCGTGCCGTCTGGGGACTTCTAGTGTGGCCCAAGAAGTCTCAGCGCTCTTAAGCCTATTGGGGGAGACAAAAATTAGCCTGGCGAGGGACCCAACCATATGCAGTTGTGAGCACCGGCTTTGTACGCAATGCATTCGGAGGAGCTCCCTATAGGGCCACGAAACATGCGAGGGGTGTGCCAAACATTGCGCGGTGGGCGCATGCGAAAGCAGCCACTGGGGCCGTCGGTGGAATTCCCTACGGGGCCACGACACGTGTGAGGGGTGTGCCGAAATTAAATGCAGTGGGCGCATGCGAATGTAGCCACTGGGACCCTAGGTGGAGCTCCCTGTGGGGCCATGAAACGAGTGAGGGGTGTGCCGAAATGGGGCGGCGCCACCATGCGGACGGCGCCATTGTGACCTTGGGTGGAGCTCCCGATGGGGCCACGAAACGTGTGAGGGGTGTGCCGAAATGTGGCGGCGCCGCCGTGCGGGCGGCGCTACTTGAACCGTAGGTGTAGCTCCCTGTGGGGCCACAACACGTATGAGGGGTGTGCCGAAATGGGGCGGCGCCGCCATGCGGGCGGCGCCACTTGGACCTTGGGTGGAGCTCCCGATGGGGCCACGAAACGTGTGAGGGGTGTGCCAAAATAGGGTGGGAGACGATGAGATGGGAGGAGGGAGGAGGGGAAGGAGGATGAGGGGGAGAAGGAGGAGGATGAGGAGGAGGAGGAGGAGGAGGAGGAGGAGAGGGAGGAGGAGTGAGGATTGGGACGCGGGGCGCTGTCTCTTCACCACAGGATGGTTGGGAAGAACAGACGGTACTAGTGCGATTGGAGGCCACGGGGGACCACGGGAGGCCACGAGGGACCACGGAAGAGCACAGGAGACCAACGTTCCCGACCGATTCCAGATCCAGGCTTCCCCATTTTTTGTGGTTTCAAAGAATCACAGAAGAAGCCTCACGCACGTGCTGTTTAGGGAAACGTGCTCATGATGTATGCGTTGTGCTCCTGGAAGCGTCCATAAGGCCAGCCCAGAGGCAGAGGAGAAGACGAAGAAGGAGGCCGACGAACAGGCCAAGAGAGAAGCTGAGGCCAGAGCGAAGAATGAAGCGGAGGAGAAGGCCAAGAGAGAAGCCGAGGCCAAGGCGAAGCGAGAGGCGGAGGAGACGGCCAAGAGCGAAGCCGGAACGCAAGTCTCCGAGGTCCTCCTGCCCCGTCATCCTCTCCCGCCGTTCCTCTCTCCTCACTCCGTTCCTCGCCTCCCTGCCCTGCCGCCCTCCACCTCTCTCTCTCTCTGTCTCTCTCTTCCTTCAATTACATCGCGCCCCTGCTCCCTCTCTCTTTCTTCTTTCTTTATTTGTTTCGCTCTCTTTCTCTCTTTCTCTCCCTCTCTCTCTCTCTCTCTCGGGAAGCCTATTGAGACACATGTCGAACGGCTGGGTGCGCCTTGATTTCGTGAAGGACTTCACTGTTTCGAGCTCTTTCTCCCTAACCCCCTTCATCTCCTCATGCATCCCCTCTCTTTCGGCACGGTGGCGGATGTGGCCGACGAGGTTGCGCGTGCCCCACAGGCCGATGAAGAGGTTATTCGCGCGCTCATGACAACCTTCAAAACAATACAAATATCGGCTCCCTCGTTGTCCCGCAATTGGTCTTCAGTTCGTCCATGGCGCTTGCGTGCTGGGCCCGCAAGTTTCTTCAGTTCGGCTTCTTCTATGGTGGCTTATTTGTTTTTGAAGAGCAGGTGGGTGCTAGGCCAGATGGCACCTGGGTTCCTGGGGGGTCCTGGGTTTTGATTTCTTGCAACGGGCGTTCCCTGGGACCCCGGGTGTCCTCGGTGATGTTTTATTACAACGACTTGCTTGGGATCCTTGGTCTTGGTTCCTTTCCCTTATTGTTGTTGGTTCCTTGCTGTATTCCTCGTGTTCCGTGGTCTTGGTTCCTTGGTTCCTCTTGGTTCCTCTTGGTTCCTTGATTCCTGGGTTCCTCGGTTCCTTGGTTACTCTGTCGTTGTTCCGTTGTTCCTTGGTCCCTTGGTTTTGGTTCCTTAGTTCTTTACTACCTCGCCAACGCAATGTCAAGCAATGCCAAGGACTGCCAAGCAATGCCACGCAACGCCAAGCAATACTACGCAATGGCAATGCCAAGCAATATGTCAAGCTATGTGCCAAGCAATGTGCCAAGCAATGCCAAGTAGTACCACCCAACGCGCCAATGCAATAGAGGGCTTTCCCCTAATTGGGGTCGTGCTGGGTGAATTTCAAAACTGCAGCCGCAAGCAGTGGGCCCAACGCGTTAACAAACGCTTGTGCAACTGAGCCAGCACTCCTGCGCCGTTCTGTGGACTTCCCGTGGGGCCCAGTGAGGGCCCCCAGGGGCCCTACATTTTCGGAAGCCGTCCGTCGCGATCTCTTCGCCTCGCGAGGACGTCAGGGCAGGACCGCGGCTCCCCCGCAGGCCGGGTGCACACCGCACACGCCCGGCGCACACTGCGGGCGCATGGCGGGTGCACACCGCAGACCCGCCCAGCGCCAAGTCTCGGGCGGAGCTATAGGACGAGGATAATAAGTCCGTCGCAGAGCGTCCCGGAGCGCCCTCAAAGCGTTCCGGAGCGCTCCGAGAAGGCCGCGCGGCGCCCGAGGCCCTCCTCCAGAGCCGCCGGATCTCAGAGCTTCTCGATTTTCTCCCGAATTGATCCTCGTCCTGGTTTCGTCTTGCAATGTGCACGTGGCGCGCACTGGAGGCCTGCCGAGGGTGCCAGGGACGAATCGCTCACACGCAAGAGTGACCCTTCGCCGGAATGACCTTTGGCTCGGGCCCTTGGGGTCCTCCGACCGCTGAGCCCGATGCGATGGCCTCGGCTTGCGCACTTGGGTTTGGCCCTCCCGGCGCCCCCCTCAAGCTGCGCACCGGAGTACACAGCTCTTTACAAGCACAGACGGGCGACAGACGACAGACGAGACGACAGGAGAGGGCGCGGTTTAGGGGAGGGAGGGGGGGGGGACAGGGGAAGGGAGGCTCGCGGGCCTGCGCCGGGCCCTGCGGACCTCAGCCAGAGTACGCCCTTGCCCAGGGTCACTCGTGCGTGCCGCCAGGCGCACCACGGCTCCCCGAGTCCATCCCGAGTGGCTTCTGACGGCCCTGGGGCCCGTGTAATTAGGGCCCCAGGGCTCCGAAGACGACGAGAAGCTCCCGGTGCCCCTCTCCCCCCAGACCCGTTCCCTTCGTGCCGAATCGGGCCCCGCCGCCTTCGGATGAGCCCCAACCCTTGCCTTCTGCGCAGGTCGGGGCGGGCGCGGACTTCACCGCACGCCCCCCGCGCGCAGCACACGCTCAGTGCCCGGTGCGCGCGGGCCTGGCCCCCGCCGCTCTCCCGTGCGTGGAGTTGTCCTGGCTCCCGGCCCCCATCAGCCAGACAGCGGCCGCGCGCAGAGTGGGGGGGGAGGGGGAGGGCTTCTTGGAAGCGCCCCTGCTTCTTGGAAGGCGCGGGCCTCTCTGTAGATGTCAGGCCCGCGCCTTTTGAGAGCCAGCCTCCTTCTGCGAAGCCTCCCCCCTCCCCCTACCCTCATGTGCGTGACCGAGTACGTCTTCCGAGCCGAGCAATTCGGTCAAACGTGGGCGCGTTTGGACAAGTTTGGGCGCTGGTTTGGGCCACGCTCGGGCAGACACAGTTTCGGCCACTACACCTCCGTTCTAGAGACGAGGCTACGTAAAAGTTGCCCAGGCCAGCCGACCAGAATGTGGGGGGAGCTGTGGTTCTTTCTTCCCTGGCATCCTCGCGCTGTGACAAAACAGCATGGACGGTTTGTAAATTTGGGCATCGGGGGCTCTCACTGGGCCACATAGCCGTCAACAAAAACGGCGCAGGACGAAAAGCCTGCCCCTTGGGAGGTGTCCAGACCTCGGGGGAGCGACGCTGCGTCGGACGTCTGCACTATTTCCGCAAGCGAGTTCTCGCCCTTGGCGGGGTCTTCCCCAAAGGACTGGCTGTTCGGAGAGGAACGGGGAATCGGGGGCATACACCCAAAGGGGGGGGCTTATTCGGACGCTCCTCATTGTCGAGGATGGGCGCCGCCCCCCCATCGTGTATCCCCGAGTCGGGCGCCCACCTGTCTGGCCAGCGCAGAGTCCCATGAGGCCGGGGAGTCGGCCCGCCATGCCCCTTGTCAGTGACCCTGCCAGGCGCCCCCCAGGGTCCCTACTTCAATCCCCTCGATCCGATCCGACCTCGGCGCCGGCCGACTCTCTGCGTCCGCGTCGGCCCGGCTGCCCCCGGCGATCCGACGTGCTGCCCGATGGATGTTGCCTGCACGGCGCTGTCTGCTGTGCGTCCCTCAGGATTGGGCCGAAGGGGGTCAAGGCAGAAGGAGAGACCAGCATTTTTGGAGCACATGCGCTTCCAGCAGGGCGCCGCCTCTGTGTAGGCGGGAGGTCGGGGCAGATACTGGCAAGCACCTCCTGCTGCGCGCCTGCCCGCGCCACACCTGACAACGCTTGTACAACGACAGGAGCTCTCTGCTGTGCATCCGCGGGTGCGGCCGCCTCGATCCGCGCTTCCGCCGCTGGGCCCCCCGTGCGGCCCGCCTCGCCGAGACACGCTGCCGCGCCGCGGGCCGCGCCCGCCCCGCCCCGGCGCCTCCGACCGCCCCCCCGCGCGCTCTCGGGGGGCGCGTCGCTCGGCGGGGCCTGGGCCCGAGCGGTCTTTGGGCGGCGTCGTGGGCCGTGTTCGTTTCGGCTCCGTGCTGCGGCGGAGGGCGGATGGAAGGCAGAACGCGGGAAAAGGAAGAGCAGAACGAACACGGAGAGCACGAGCAAGCCGCGGCCAGCCGGCCGGAGCGGGGCTGGCCAGGTCCCCGGCCGTGCGCAGGCGCGCGCTCCTCCGATGCAGCACTGTAGGTCGGGCATGGGGACAAGGCAAAAATGGTGGTACGTGATACAAACAGTCTGGGGAAGAACTTTGTTACACGTTTCGGCTACGTTTGAATGTGTTTTGACTCTTGTTCGGCTTTCGCTCAAAATCCGCCTGCAGGAGGACATGCCCGACCCAAATGTAGCAGGGGGGTGCGCGAGAGAATCGCCACTTGGAGCCCTCCCTTGGGGGACCCTGGGACCGCCAGAGCCTACTCGGGACGAAATCGAGGGCGGCAAAGAGGGGTGTGATGACTAGGGGGGGGTGGATATCATGGCGGGAGCCACGATATCTCCTCCGATGTCATGGCGCCTCTTCTTATTTCAGTACGTCCCTGGCCCCCCCCGCGTGGGCCGCGCACATGCCGCTGACCATGATTTGCGCACCTCCTCTTGGACGCCCCCCTCCAGGATGCCCCCGACGAAACGCTGGTCACTGGGACCGTCCCAGGGCCCGGGTCCGCAACCCGCACCGAAGCCCAAAGCGGAAGTTCTTCATGCCGATCGATGTGCGACGCGCGGCCCGCGGGATCGGATGTTTGTGTCTACCGTCGCCAGCTGCGGCGCGAATGGCGAAAGTTTGGAGTCTTGAGGCGCCGCCACGTCGCGGGAAGAGCTGGCGTGTGCTTTCGAGGAGGGCAGTGCTCGGGATGCAGCGCCACGGGGAGCGCCCCAGGGTTCGGGGGCCCAGATGTCCCGCGCAAGGCCTGGTCAGAGGCTGCGTATGCTCAGACGGCCACGGCGTCGGCGGCGACGGCGTCGGTGGCGGCGTCGGTGACGGCGGCGGCAGCGACGGCGACGGCGACGGCGACGGCGACGGTGACGGCGGCGGCGACGACGGCTTTTTGCAGAAGGAGTCAGATTGCAGACTTCCTGCAGGGGCCGTGGCACCGCGCCAGATTTGGCATCAGGGGCGGCCTGACCAGCCCCTCGTGAGCCATCCCCCTTTCGTGACGTCCCCCTCGCCTCACCCCGAGACGTGCGTATGCGGCCGGGGGAGAGCTTCGAAGGCGAGGATGACGTTGCGGACGGTGCTGGTCACGGCAGGGGTCGATGAGGCCGCGCCCGCTGGCATGAGCAGCACCTCGGTGCCGCAGCGCCGCCGCGGGCAGGATGACCCCATGGCCCTGGTCTTCGGGATGCTGGGCACCTTCTCTGGCCAGCTCGCGGCGGGCGTCGACGAGGAGGAGAAGGCCGGGCTCATTTCGGTGCCTCCGGCTCGATTCGATGCGATTGCGCCGGTGTTCCGATTCCGATTCGATTCGACCTCGGATTCCGGAATGGACTCCGATTTCTCAGCGGAGGCCTCTAGCGTGCCGATTCCCGCCGATGTGACTTCTCCCAACTCGGCTGCCGATTTCCGCCGATCCGATTATTTCGATCGCCGATCCGACTTTTCGATTCGACTCTGGCCTCGCCTGAGAAGGCGCGCCCGTGTGCGCCTGCAGACGGCGGAGGAGGACGACATAGTCGTGAGTGGGGGAGGGGTGAGGTGGAGAGGTGGAGGGAGGAACAGGATCACGAGTGACACCAGAAGGAGGAGGAGGAGGAGGAGGAGGAGGTTTGGGAGGAACGTCGGCGGTCGGAGCAAGATGGGGAGGACTGGGAGGAGCGGTGGAGAGAACGATGCGGCATCCTCATCCCCGTCCTCGCCCGTCCACTTTCCCTCGGCGCCGCACCCGACTGTCGGTGCACCAGAGACGGGGGCACGCTGGACGGGGTCGTAGGTAACACCGGCGGGCACGCACTGTTCCTGCAGAGCACGTCTGCTGAGAGAGGATTTCCTCTTCCTCCCCCTCTCCTAGGCACGGCGCGCCGGGGCAAGAATCGCCACGATGAGCTCTTCGCGTCTTTCTTCTTCTCTCCCAGGCGACGGTTCTCTGCACGAGTTTGCCCCCATTGCAGGTCGGCGTGTGTGGCATGCTGGGGTTCGCCTGGCGGCTGTCTGACACGCACTGCGCTCCCAAAGCATGCATGTAGCTATGACCGCTGGGGGAGTCTTGGTGGACGTGTTTCCGACTCAGAGCATCCAGCAGCATTCGTGCCATTGGTGAGTCGTTCTCCGATCATTTGGGTCGGAATGAGTAAACTGACCTCGCCATGCATTTCTCATTGTAGTGTGTGTGTGTGTGTGTCTGTCACCACCGCTCAAGACGATGCATGCTCGAAGTCTAAGTCTCGTGGCCCTGGGGGGGGCGCTGGGTCAGAACACGTACTTTCATATTTTATGTTGCAGCGGAGGGCATGTACACTGCAGCGACGCGTCGCTGCATTCCGGTTGTTATTATTGTTTCCATGGTGCCCCCGTTTAGGGACGCTCGCGGGACGCATTATCAAGCATGCTTATCATGCATGTCTTTGATGTTTGAATGTTTTTGAGGGCATATCACGCTGGGTTCACCTTAGGGTCAGCCCAGAGGCAGCGGAGAAGACGCAGAAGGAGGCGGACGAAAAGGCCAAGCGAGAAGCTGAGGCCAAGGCGAAGAGCGAAGCGGAGGAGAAGGCCAAGAGGGAAGCCGAGGCCAAGGCGAAGCAAGAGGCAGAGGAGACTGCCAAGAGAGACGCCAGAAGTCAAGTCTCCGAGGCCCTCCTGCCTCCTCATCCTCTCCCGCCCTCCTCCCTCCCCACTTCGTTCCCCCTCCCCCCGCCCCGTCCTTCCTTCATTACATCGCGCCCCCGTTCATTCGCGGAGCCTAGTGAGTCGCAGGTCGGACGGCTGAGTGCGCATTGCTTTCGTGAGGGACTTCACTGCTTCGACCGCTTCCTCCCCTGCTCTCTTACCCTCCTCGTGCAAGCCCTCCCGTTCCCTGCCCGTCCCGCTCCCCCCCTCCCTCTCAGCTTGGGAGATACGCGAGGTTGCACCGTCGGAGGGACTATCGCCAGGAGGCCATCATTCGTACGCGTCCGAGTTGCCACCCATCATGTACTCGCAGTGTCTATACCGAGTTGCTCCACCACCGGCGGCGACGGTGACGGCGGCGGCGACGACGGCTTTTTGCAGAAGGAGTCAGATTGCAGACTTCCTGCAGGGGCCGTGGCACCGCGCCAGATTTGGCATCAGGGGCGGCCTGACCAGCCCCTCGTGAGCCATCCCCCTTTCGTGACGTCCCCCTCGCCTCACCCCGAGACGTGCGTATGCGGCCGGGGGAGAGCTTCGAAGGCGAGGATGACGTTGCGGACGGTGCTGGTCACGGCAGGGGTCGATGAGGCCGCGCCCGCTGGCATGAGCAGCACCTCGGTGCCGCAGCGCCGCCGCGGGCAGGATGACCCCATGGCCCTGGTCTTCGGGATGCTGGGCACCTTCTCTGGCCAGCTCGCGGCGGGCGTCGACGAGGAGGAGAAGGCCGGGCTCATTTCGGTGCCTCCGGCTCGATTCGATGCGATTGCGCCGGTGTTCCGATTCCGATTCGATTCGACCTCGGATTCCGGAATGGACTCCGATTTCTCAGCGGAGGCCTCTAGCGTGCCGATTCCCGCCGATGTGACTTCTCCCAACTCGGCTGCCGATTTCCGCCGATCCGATTATTTCGATCGCCGATCCGACTTTTCGATTCGACTCTGGCCTCGCCTGAGAAGGCGCGCCCGTGTGCGCCTGCAGACGGCGGAGGAGGACGACATAGTCGTGAGTGGGGGAGGGGTGAGGTGGAGAGGTGGAGGGAGGAACAGGATCACGAGTGACACCAGAAGGAGGAGGAGGAGGAGGAGGAGGAGGAGGAGGTTTGGGAGGAACGTCGGCGGTCGGAGCAAGATGGGGAGGACTGGGAGGAGCGGTGGAGAGAACGATGCGGCATCCTCATCCCCGTCCTCGCCCGTCCACTTTCCCTCGGCGCCGCACCCGACTGTCGGTGCACCAGAGACGGGGGCACGCTGGACGGGGTCGTAGGTAACACCGGCGGGCACGCACTGTTCCTGCAGAGCACGTCTGCTGAGAGAGGATTTCCTCTTCCTCCCCCTCTCCTTGGCACGGCGCGCCGGGGCAAGAATCGCCACCATGAGCTCTTCGCGTCTTTCTTCTTGTGTGCGCTCCGCTTTTCTCTCCCAGGCGACGGTTCTCTGCACGAGTTTGCCCCCATTGCAGGTCGGCGTGTGTGGCATTCTGGGGTTCGCCTGGCGGCTGTCTGACACGCACTGCGCTCCCAAGACATGCATGTAGCTATGACCGCTGGGGGAGTCTTGGTGGACGCGTTTCCGACTCAGAGCGTCCAGCAGCATTCGTGCCATGGGTGAGTCGTTCTCCGATCATTCGGGTCGGAATGAGTAAACTGACCTCGCCATGCATTTCTCATTGTAGTGTGTGTGTGTGTGTCACCACCGCTCAAGACGATGCATGCTCGAAGTCTAAGTCTCGTGGCCCTGGGGGGGGCGCTGGGTCAGAACACGTACTTTCATATTTGATGTTGCAGCGGAGGGCATGTACACTGCAGCGACGCGTCGCTGCACTCCGGTTGTTATTATTGTTTCCATGGTGCCCCCGTTTAGGGACGCTCGCGGGACGCACTATCAAGCATGTTTATCATGCATGTCTTTGATGTTTGAATGTTTTTGAGGGCATATCACGCTGGGTTCACCTTAGGGTCAGCCCAGAGGCAGCGGAGAAGACGCAGAAGGAGGCGGACGAAAAGGCCAAGCGAGAAGCTGAGGCCAAGGCGAAGAGCGAAGCGGAGGAGAAGGCCAAGAGGGAAGCCGAGGCCAAGGCGAAGCAAGAGGCAGAGGAGACTGCCAAGAGAGACGCCAGAAGTCAAGTCTCCGAGGCCCTCCTGCCTCCTCATCCTCTCCCGCCCTCCTCCCTCCCCACTTCGTTCCCCCTCCCCCCGCCCCGTCCTTCCTTCATTACATCGCGCCCCCGTTCATTCGCGGAGCCGATTGAGTCGCAGGTCGGACGGCTGAGTGCGCATTGCTTTCGTGAGAGACTTCACTGCTTCGACCGCTTCCTCCCCTGCTCTCTTACCCTCCTCGTGCAAGCCCTCCCGTTCCCTGCCCGTCCCGCTCCCCCCTTCCCTCTCAGCTTGGGAGATACGCGAGGTTGCACCGTCGGAGGCACTATCGCCAGGAGGCCATCATTCGTACGCGTCCGAGTTGCCACCCATCATGTACTCGCAGTGTCTACCGAGTTGCTCCACCACCGCATTGTGGGGGGCGGATACAATTGTGGTGAATCTCACCTTTGAGACGTCACTGTGGATGCGATATTTGGTAAGTTCGGTCGCTACAGGTGCTAACCTGAGCCAGCGACTAGGATGCCACAACTCTCCCTCTCTCTTTCTCTCGTTCTCTGTCTCGCTGTCTCTCTCTCTCTCTCTCTCGCCCGTTCGCATGTGTTCCTCTCTATGTTTCTTATATATATATATATATATATGAGTTGCTCACGGAGTCGTGGCACACAATCTGGGGGCCCTAGTTTCGGCCACGTTCGCAGGACAGTCCTGCTACGGCGCCGTGGCGAAGCCTTTTCCACTTTCTCTGCACAGGCCAAGGTTTCGCGTGTTGGCTCGCCTATTGCAGATTGGCCCTCGCGTGATTCCCGGTTTGCTTCATGCATGCGGTTGGGCACCATTGGCATGTTGGCTTGATGGTATATATCTATACATATAAGATAACATGGTTTGGCCTTTCCGCTCCAAGAGCACAAGCGCTCTGGCGTGTAGCAAAAGTCGTCTCGATAGGAGCCGGTCTTCGTGGCTAAACGTGGTTTTAACTTGGTGTGGTGACGTTAATCCTGCCGGCCACTTGTGGAGAAAAAAAAACAATACATATATAATCATTCTCTCTCTCTCTCTCTCTCTCTCTCTCTTCTCTCTTCATGCAGATGTATGCACGCATGCATGCATGCATGTACGGGGTCAGTCGCCATCTGCCCCTGCCTTGGCGACGTCGGCAATCCACGTCCCGCACGTGCCTGGTGCAGGGTGGTGCGCCCCAGGACCAGGCAAAGGTGCGTCCCAGGACCGTCTGGGCTGCATTCGCCGGCGTGTGCCCCAGCTCTTCGCGACGATTTCCCTGGGGCGCGTGGGGGACAGTCAGCCCTGGGGGGCCGCACGGGGCTCGCGAGGATGATGCTGATGCTGATGATGACGACGATGATGTTGATGTTGATGGTGATGCTGGCGATGATGGCGATGATGATGATGGTGATAATGGTGATGCTGGTGATGATGCTGATGATGGCGATGCTGATGCTGATGCTGATGCCGATGCTACTGATGGCGCTAATGTGGATGAGTGGTGATGCTGCTGATGCTGATGGTAATGATGATACTGGTGGCGATGACGACGATGATGACGCTGATGTTTATGATGCTGCTGATGATGATGACGACGGTGGTGGCGACGGTGGTGATGATGATGACGATGCTGCTGATGATGATGCTGATGATGATTCAGATGATGATGATGGTGATGCTGCTGCTGCTGCTGATGATGATGCTGATGCTGATGATGATGATGATGATGATGGTGAGGATGGTGACGATGATTGCTGTGGTGGTGGTGGCGATGGTGATTATGACGATGAATAGTCATGATGCTGCTGATGATGATGGTGATGATAAATGGTAGTTGTGATGATAATGATGCAGATGCTCCACATGATGCGGCTGGCGTTAATGATTCTCAGCATCCTGGTTATAAGGAGGAGGAGGAGGAAGAGGAGGGAGAGGGTGACGCTGCTTCTGCTGATGATGATGATGATGCTGACGATAATGATGATGACGCTGATGATGACGATGATGATGATGATGATGGTGATGACGATGGCGATGGCGATGCTAATGATGAGGATGCATTTGCTGCTGTTGATGATGACCATGACGACGGCCATGCTGCGGCTGATGATTATGCGGATGCTGATGTTGATGATGATGATGATGATTATGATGATGATGATGATGATGATGATGATGATCATGATGATGATCATGATGTCTCTGATGATGTTGACGATGACGACGATGATGATGATACTGATGCTGATGACGACGATGAGAAACGATGGTGCTGTTGCTGAGGATAAGAATGGTGAGTATGATGGTGATGCTGATGATGATTATGCTGATGGTGTTGATGATGATGATGCTGATGATGATGTTGTTGTTGTCGTTGTTGTTAGTGCTGTTGCTCTTGTGTTGTGGATGGAAAAGGTTGTGATGATGGTGATAACGATGATAAGGATAATGGTGATGATGATGGTGCTGATGATGATGCTGCTGGTGATGCTTATGACTTGGGATGATGGCGGGACGTGCGCCCTGCTGAGATCGCGGAGCTCGAGCCCAGAAGTAGGGGGGGGGGGGGGGCGGAAGGAGCCACGGGGCAGAGATGCATCTGGCCTGCGAGTCGGTGAGGCCGCAGGCGAGGGTTGGAGCAAGCGCGCGTCGGGACGCGACGCGTTCGGTCCATCCCTGCCGCCTGGCTTGCAAGAGGCGGGTCGGCAGCGCTGGAGGGGTGGCGTGCCCGCGTGTCTCATGCACGCGCTGTTGTAGCAGCGCAGCAGTGGATATACGCGCAGTGTCTGTCTGCTTCAGTGCGCCAGTTGATCGTACTCATTGGTCCAAGGACATCTGCAGTATTGGCTTGGCTTCTATCGCGACGTGCCCGTTCTGCGCATCCACCTGACGAGGCCCTTGCCGCCAGAGTTGCGTGGGAGGCCCAGGGGGCACGTTGTGAAGAGTGGGTTGACGACGAGGTTCTCTGGGGTGGAGCTGTACAGCCTTCGTCGCTGCCCTCGGCCCAGCTCCTTCGCCCACTCCTCCTCCCAGTCCCGCTCCCCATCTTGCTCCCCCGCCTGCCCCGCGTCCCTTCCTGGCGTGTCGTGCCCTCGCGCCACAGCTCGTTGAAGCAGCCACGCCAGACGGGCCTGCGGGGGGCCCCACCCTTGGGCGGCAGCAGTCGTCGAGGCGGGGTGGCTGCTGAGAGGCGACGCAGTCCCTGCAGCAGCCTGGCGGTGTCCCGGCAGAGTCCTGTCCTGGGCCCTGCGGCTGGGCCGCTGGCCGTGGCTTCTCGCAGAGACAGGGGGGGGGGGGGGCAGAGCTCCTGCGGGGGCTGCCTGCTCCGGAGGACGCGGCCGTCGACGTCAACCTGAATCATCCGATGTTGATCAGCCTGAACAATGCACTCCTCGCGCCGCACTCCACGTGCGACTCCGCTTCGGACGTCTGCGACTCGGAGATGCCCAGCCGCAGGCCCTCTCTCGGCTCGTGCGAGGCTCCCCTCCGCGAAGTGGGGGGAGGAGAGGAGGGTGCAGAGAACGGGGGCAGGCAGCGCCAGAACGGCTCTGGGGAGCCTCTCGGAGAGCGCGCATCTGGAGCAAGCGGCGTGAAGGACGCCCCCGCTTTATTTCCCCCTCCCCCTGGCCCACCACGCTTGGGCGCGACTCGCTGAACACGACGCGGTCCCCGAGCGTCAACGTCCCGAGCCTTTCTCGGCCTCTGGACCCCCGAAGCGGAGCAACACGCTATCAGCTCGCAGGTCACATCGTGGTGGCTGGCGCGGCGACACGCTAGGCAAAAGCTCCCGGCCGTAGGTTTGGCCGCGGCGGTGCAGAGCCGACTAGGCGGAGGCATTTGCGACGCCTCGCTGAACCTGAAATGAAAAGCCGCAGGCCCTTTGATCGACCTGTGTCGCGCGATCTGGGGGGAATCTCCGTGCGTTGCTGGAGCTCGGAGCTGACTCGAACAAGCCAGCATGCTTTGCTGCTCCCGAGGCCAGAACTCATGCGTTTCTACCGCCCGAGGCACGATATTCCAGGACCCTAGGAGAAGGTGGACATAGATGCACGTTTGCCCCTGAGGGGCCCGAGACCATCCATGTCTCATGCCTCCCAGGGCGTACTGGGGCATCGGCTTCCCAGGCGGTGGACATTTGTAGATTCTGGCCTCGTGCTGCGGCCGGCCTTCGACTGTGCTGTCGCCGTAGACGGCCCTGCCTTCGCCTCAGCCCAGGCCGCGCGAAACCGCGCGCAGCGATGCTGTCAGACAGTCCACGGACTGGGATACGGTAGATCACTCCAGGAAAGTTCAGGGGCGCTCTCCAAGCGCTCCAAACCCTCCAAAATTGCAGGTTCTCAGAGATCCCCGATTCGTCCAGGCGGGGATTTGTCTATACCGCCGCCTGGGGGATCGATCTTCGGGGACCCCGGCATGCGGCGGATGTGGATGCTCGGGCCCCCCTGGAGCCCAAGGTCTGTCCAAGTCCACCGCCCTCTGGGGGGCAGGTCGCTGGTTCCCGGGCGGTGGACACGGATGCATCCCCGCCTCGTGGACTTAAGTCGGGCCTGTCCCTCTACAGGGGGGAAATTCAAAAATTGTGTCAAACATAGCCTTGGGACAATTTTTTGAATATGTTTTGACTATGTTGGAGCATGTTATTAAAAGTATGTTTAACTTATCGTCCAAAATCCCCCTGTAGGGGAACAGGCCAGCCCTAATCGTAGACGAAGGATTGCAAAAAAACGAAGGATTGCAAAACAACCCGATCCGACCTTGTCCCGACCTTGCCTTCCACCCAGGGGCCTTCTGCTATTTTCACTGCGTGGCCCCAGAGGCTCCGACCCCTGCCCTCGACTACACACTTGTTCATTCCTAATTACTCGAACGTTCTTTGATCTTTTGGGGGGCCTAGAACCTTTCACTTCCAAAATTGTTCTGTCCTGGGCCTCTTCCTGGCCACCAGGGGGGCCAGGAACAGCTAGAAACGAGCGCATTCAGAAAGGGACACGACTAGACATGCACGACGTGTGCACGTAAGGAGTGACCTCTCGCCGGAGCGACCTTTTGGTGCGCTGCGCGCCCGGAGGTCGGAGCAGCCCGCGTCCTCCCCTAGAAGCCACGCGCCAAGTGCCGCTCTCGTTGCCCGGGGGGCCACTGCGCGCGCCGCCGAGGGCGCGGAAGTGAGGACCCGGCTGGCTCAGGAGGAGGTGGAGGAGGAGGAGGAGGTGGAGGAGGAGGAGGAGGAGGAGGTGGAGGAGGAGGAGGAGATGGAGGTGGAGGAGTTGGAGGTGGAGGAGGAGGAGGAGGAGGAGGAGGAGGAGGAGGAGGAGGAGTAGGAGGATGAGGAGGAGGCGCTCCTGAGACCCAGGTTCCTGGAGCCTCTTCGTGATCGAGGCTCGCCGCAGCCAGGGAGAAGCCCCTCCGTTCCTGGTTCCGCGTTCCTCATGGTAGCGCGAGGGCTGCAGCCGCGGGAGCGCGAGGCGCTGCTGGGCAGCGAGGCCCAGTCCAGACCCCCAGCCTCATGATGCTGCCCAGAACGTCGACCCCCGTGTGCCCCAGAGATCTCGACCCCTTCCTGGGGCCGGCTTCTCATCCCGAGTCGGGTTTGGCGGCCCCGGGCCCTGGTAAGGGCCCCCCCGAGGCCAACGTCGTCCCAAACATTTGCCGTCGTGTGTTTTTTTTTTGTGTCACGACTCGAGGGGGTCCGGGGAGCGCGAAGCAGGACCCGCGTGACGGCAGCGAGGCCCCAGGAGGCGCCGCGTCAGAGGCTCTGCGGTTGTCCTCTGCACCGTCGTCGACGTTGCCGTTCTTGTGGTCCTCGTCGTCGTCGTCGTTATGGTCGTCGTTCTTGTCGTCGCTCTTACCGTAATCGTTCTTGTCGTCGTCGTCGTTCTTGTCGTCGGCGTTCTCGTCGTCGTTTTCACCGTCAATCTTGTCGTCGTCGTCGTCGTCGTCGTCGTCGTCGTCGTCGTCGTCGTCGTCGTCGTCGTCGTCGTCGTCGTTCGTATCGTCGTCGTCGTCGTCGTCGTCGTCGTCGTCGTCGTCGTCGTCGTCGTCGTCGTCGTCGTTCATATCGTCGTCGTTCGTAGCGTCGTCGTCGGGGCAGCGAGGCCCCGCGGCGCGCGAGACGGTGCCAAGGCTCCGCCGCGCCACGGCCCCGCCCCGCCCCCCCGCGAGAGGCCGCGGGCCTCCTGCGGCGGTCCGCGGCGTGAGCGGCGAACGGTCGAGAGCTCCTGAGCTCTTCTCTTCGGGGGGGGCGGGGAAGAAGAGGAGGGGGCAGGAGAAGCAGAAGGAGGAGGAGGAGGAGGAGGAGGAAGACAAGGGGGGGGAGGGAGGAGGAGGAGAGGAGGAGGAGGAGGAGGAGGGGGAGGAGGAGGAGGAGGAGGAGGAGGAGGAGAGGAGGAGGGGGAGGGGGAGGAGGAGGACAAGGGGGGGAAGAGAGGATGGGGTAGGAGAAGCAGAAGGAGGAGGAGGAGGAGGAGGAGGAGGTGGAGGAGGAGGAGGCAGACAAGGGGGGAAGGAGGAGGAGGAGGAGGAGGCCGACGGCGACGAGAACGATGATGACGACGACGATAAGAACGACGACGACGAGCGGAACGATGACGACGACAATAGTTAAGAACGACGACGACGACGATAAGAACGACGAGGACTGCGGCGACGACGACGCCGCCGCCGACGACGACGATGACGACAACGACGACGAGAGCGACAAGAGCGACCAGGCCGAGCTCCTCGCTGGGCGCAGCAAAAGACCACGACCAGAACCGAGTGGGATTTTCTCGAGGTCGGCCACGCGCAGAGGGGGGAGCAGGGGGAGAGGGGAATTAGAACGAGGCTGCTTCTCAGAGGGAGTGTGCCTTGTCTGTGGAAGTAGGGCCGGCGCCTTCTGAGAAGCAGCTTCCTTCTTAGACGCCCGTCCCGCCTCCCCACATTTCAACGATGGAGGACGACGTTGTTCAAAGTATGGTTCTTGCCTCGCTTGAGACTTCGTAAGATGTCATGACCCGAAGTTCTAGCTTGTGCAAGGGACGGGAGGGTGTAGTGCAGCATCGTGCACACAGATTCGGTTTACTCAGGTCCTTCCTCCTCCACCTTGATATTTCCTGTTTGGCGGCTGGCCTGCCGCTGATAGCTTCTTTTACGCCCAACGCCAACCGGCGCCGCAGGTTGGCTGGCTGTCGATATGGTGCCGCCCCGAGCTTGGCCTGGCTCAGCCTGGTGGATGGTCGGAAGGCGGAGTGAGGAACGAGGAATGAGGAGGAGGAATGAGGAGGAGGAGGAGGAGGAAATGGAGGAGGAGGAGGAGGAGGAGGAGGAGGAGGAGGAGGAGGAGGAGAGGGAGGAGGAGAGGGAGGAGGCAGGTGATGACGATGAGAAGGAGGGTGGGGGTTCACCCGGAACGGCCAGGCCAAGGTCGGGGCCGCATGTCGTCCATGCCTCTGAATGTCTAGCTTGCCTTCTGTGACCTTTGGTGCGCCGCTGTTCCCCCTTAAGGGGGCGGCGGCTGGCTGTCCTAGCCTTGCTTGCGGGCCACATGCTGGCTTTGCCACGCAAGATCCCGCTGAAACAGGGGCGCACGTACGCGCGCGAGGTTTGCGTGCCACGACGTGAGTGGAATCTCGCTCCTCTGGTGGCCATCCTGGGTCTCGGGAGCTCGTCGGGCGGCTCTGGCGCGCATGGGAAGCCGCAGGACTTGGCGCCATCGCGTTGCGTTGTTCGGCTCCGCGCACGGACCTTCACGTGATTTCCCGATCGTGCTTAGAGTGTTTGCGGCCGTTGGCCACACTTGCATGTATGGCATGCCCCTGTTTGGGTTCGACTTTTCATTCCTCAGGCCTCTCTCGTCCAGACTGCAGCTGGACCGGGTGCCTCTCGTCGCCACCCACGATCGATCGAATCAGCTCCAGCTTGAAAGCCGCCGTCTGCGTCCCCATTGCCTCACTGGCATAGACAACACCTGTTTACCATGATGTGTTGCATCCTTATTGTTTGGGCACGGCTTAAGGAAACAGTGCTTGGATGTCTTGGGCGATGCCCATGCGCGGTCCCGAGCCAGCTTGGCTCCCACGCCAGATTGCAGAGCCTGACCGCACGTCGCGTCCACCTCCAGGGTCTTTGCGGCTGGGCTCGAGGTCCCAAGATGGCGGAGAGTCTCCCGTGCGCGCCTCAGCTGCTACCGGGCCTGCTCTCTCTATCCCGAAGCATGAAAAATTGAATGCGTACGAGTTGTCGGAGCCCCGCGCGGATTTCTTGGACCGGCGCGGGGCCCCCCCCCTGGCGGCACCTCGGGCGCCGCTCCCGGCGCGCTCCGCGCGCCACAGGCGGTGGTCCAGCGCGGAGCCAAGAAATCCGCGACGAGCTCCGAGAACTTCTGTCTACCCATCGGTCGCTGAGAGTGGGTATTTCTGGAGCCCCAGACTCCAATCCTACTCTGAGCGCCTTCCTGCTTCAATGATCGAGTGGCCCCACCGCTGCCGTCCTCTTCGGGGGGCGCGCGGGAGCCCGGTCTGCTTTGAACGCCCTCCTGCTCTATGTTTCTGCCCGCTTCTTCCGACCGATGGGTATGCCGCTCTTTGCTTCTCTGCGAAGGCCCTCCGTGCAGCCACAACGTGGGGCTCGAGCCACGCAGCCATCTGTTCAGCACCCCGCACGGGGGCCCGGCGAGGCGCACGGCTCGCTCCTGGACGAGAGGCGATGCTGCTCTCGCTGATGCTGCCTGCGGACTGCTTGCAGCCACAGGGTCTCTTTGGTCTGCGCTCCCGCCGAGCATTGCGCGTCGTTGGCCCTCTCTGTCTGAATATGTTCTGGTCTCACCACATGTCTCTCGCTCTCTCTCTCTCTCTATCTGTATCTCTCCCTCCCTCTCTCTCTCACTGTCTGTCGCTCTGCCGCTCAGCCTTTTGCCTGAACTCCCTTGTCTCTCAGCGCCTGGTACGTCTGCGTCTCTGTCGGTGTACCCTGCTCGTGCACACGCGCACACATCGATTTAATTATGCGCATATATGTGTATGGATGCGAAAATACATATATGTATATACATATGTGCACAATTAATAATAAGTATATGTTCACACATACTTGAACAAGTATAATACGTGTGTGTGTGTGCTGCTGCGTGCGCGCCTTCTCTCTCTCTCTCTGCCTCGCGTCCTCTCAGGCAGCCAGCTCGTTTCGTGTAGTTGCGTTCCTCCGCCTCTCGAGCTCATCGTCTCTGTATGTGTCCATTATAGACGCTTCGCGCGCAAACAACCAGCCCATCCAGAAGCGATGCCCAGGCGAGTTGTCCTGATCGGAGATGCGGAGAAGCACGCAGTGCAATAAAGGGCTGGAGAAGCTTTCAAACCTCAACAGGGGGAGAATGGAACAATCGGAGGATGGGGAGGGGGAGGGAGAGGGGGAGGGGGCTGAGGGAGGAGGGATGAGGAATAGGCGGATGAGCGGGAGGGGGAGGATGAGGAGGCGGACGAGGAGGAGGAGGAGGAGGAGGAGGAGGAGGAGGAGGAGGGCGAGTAGAAAGGCCAGAGGCTTTTTTGATGCCGCTCGGAGTTCCTTCGGACGTCTCGGGGGAGCTTCTTGCAGTCCTCTTCGGGCGGCTTGGGGGCCTCTTGGTGGTCCTTGGAGCCTCTTGGAGCGTCTTGGGTGCCTCGGGGCAGCCTCTTGGGGCCTCTGCCTCTTGGGGCTCCCTTGGGGCACTCTTGCGAGCCTCGGGGGCCATCTTCGGGCCACCTGAGAGGAGTTCCATCGAAGTACAGGGAAGTCGTTAGTTACCCCCCCCCCAGGAGGCCAACAGTGGCCCAACACTCCAGTACAATCAATGATGTTTGTCTTCTCGCTGAGGTCCTCTTGAAGGCTCTGGCCTCTCGCCAAACCCTTCTTCCAGGTCCTGGGAAGGGGGTATGGGTAGCGGTCAAGACACCTCCACACGGCAAGCCGTCTAGCTCACTCCCACTTGCCCTCCCGACACATAAGTTGCACCCGAGCCTCAGCATGTTCCGCGGTCGTCTTTTGATGGACAGCTATTGTGAACCAAAACCGAGCCCATGTGCGCGACGCTGGGGCGGAGGTGCGCCACGCGGGCCGGGCGCGCCACGCGCGCCAGGCACCCCTGGGGCCCGAGCCCGCCAGGTACGTCTAGTGCGCCAGATGCTCCCTCCAGCCGCGCCAGGTGCGTCACGTCCGGGTCGCGTGCAGTGTGTGTCAGGTGCGCGTGCTCACGTGACAGCACACATCGGGAAACATGTCGGCCCCCACCATCCCCGTCGAAAACCAATGCCCACCATTGTGTCGGGTGGGCCTGCGCACAGCAGGGCATACGCCACCACCCCCGCCGTCCCTGACAAAAACCACTTGACAACGATCGCGGGGTGGCCGCGCACTATCCACATTGAGCCGCGAGGTGCATATTGTATTATGCGTTTGTCAGGGATGGTAGCCCTGCGTGCAGCAGGCAATATTCTGACACCCCCACCGTCCCTGTCGAAAAACAATACAAAGTGCCCGCGGGCCTCACGAACATGACTCCCGACTTTGCCCTAAAGTGTATTGTGGTGGTTGGTTGGTTGCGCATGCTCCGAATGTGGAGGCAGACTGCGTTTTGTATTTTTTTGTTGACAGGGATGGTGGGGGGGGCCCTCATGGTGTGCGCATGGTTCCAAGTTGGCTGCCGGCCTGGTGGGGGAGGGGGTGTTTATTAATAGGGAACAGTGATCAAGACACCTCCTGCCCACAAGGTGCAAGCCGTCTCGCTCACTCCCACCCGCCCTGCCAACACATGAGCAGCACCCGAGCATCCCTACCAAAAACTAGAGCAACGTGGTCGCGGTGCGCCCGCGCATGCTCCAGGCTTGGAGGCAATGCGCACTTTGTACTGTAATGTGTCAGGTTGGTTGTCCTGCACGCAGCAAGCAATATGATGCCCCGCCGCAGCCTCTGTTAAAAGCAAATGCAAAGTGGTCGCGGGGCGCCCTCGCATGCTCCAGATTTGGAGGCAGAGTGTACGCTGTGATGTTTTTGACAGGGATAGTAGGGGGTTGCATCGGTTCTGGTTGGCTGCCGGGCGGGTGGGGGAGGGGATGGTTGTCAATAGGGAACAGTGACAAGCCCCATCCCCGGAAAGGAAGACGGGGAAGATGGAAGAGGAAGCCAGCTAAATCACTCACGCCGAGGGGGCTGGTGAGATTACTTGCGCTCCCTTTTCCCACAGTCATCC